CAAAAGTTACCACTTTGTCCTTTCTGGCCGGGTCGGCCAACTAGCTCCACCCCGCGCCGGAATTCCTCTAGCTCATCGATGCCGAAGAGCTCTACGAGTAGGAAGCGCCAAAAATAGATTGGGACCTGGGAATCAAAAATACCTATTTTCAGCGACTGGCGTGTGTTCATCACCACCACCACCACCACCTTCATCATCATCATCATCATCATCATCATCATCATCATCATCATCATCATCATCATCATCATCATCATCATCATCATCAGCATCATCCTCATCCTCATCCTCATCCTCATCCTCATCGCCATCGCTATCGCCATCGCCACCGCCATCGCCATCCTCATCATCGTCCTCCCTCTTTCCCCTGTCTCCTTCAGGGTAGTAAAAGCCCTGGGGCTGCCCACTGCGTCCGCTGCCGATGTGGGGTGCAGGCCCGCCGCGGCGCCGCTGCGAGGCTGATCGCTCGCATAGCGACGATTGGCTGCCAACTCGTGGCGCGCTCACCCTCAGCATCCTCACCCTCATCATCCTCAGCCTCAGCATCCTCACCCTCATCATCCTCACCCTCAGCATCCTCACCCTCATCATCCTCATCACCCTCATCATCCTCATCATCATCCTCATCATCCTCATCCTCACCCGCGCTCCGCCGCGCCTCACCCTCATCATCATCACCCTCATCATCCTCACCCTCATCATCCTCACCCTCATCATCCTCACCCTCATCATCCTCATCATCCTCATCCTCCCCCGCGCCTCACCCTCATCGTCTTCACCCTCCCAGGCGCGGCGCTGAGGCAAAGGCCGAATTGGTGGTGCCCATGTCGATGCCCACGGACGCTCCCTGGCGGGCCGAGCGAGGGGGGGCGGGGGGGGCAAGAGGCGGGCGGGCGGGAGGCAGGAGGTGGTGGGCAGGAAGCGGGAGGCAGGCGGGGCGCGGATGGGGGAAAGGGAGGGCCGGAGAGGCCAGGGAGAGGGAGGGCGGGGGCAAAAGGACGAAGGACTGGATTGATTCTACTTCCTCCTCCTCCTCCTCCTCCTCCTCCTCCTCCCCTCCTCCTCCTCCTCCTCCTCCTCCTCCACCTCCTCCTCCTCGTACAAAGTACCTCTAAGTGTCGCGCCACCGGAGGTGTCGGTAGGGCGGTCTGGGCGTTTCGCTGGAGATTTCCTCACGGCAGTATGATCCCGAAGCTTGAACAATTTCTAGCAGTTGCGATAATGAAGGACGGCACATTCTCGAAATGGGGTTCCCGCTCTAGCGCCGCGCACATTCAACTCAAAAGGATGGGAGACGGCATTATTTTCAAAATGGGGATCTCGCCTTCGCGCCGCGCACGTTCGTTTTCGCAGCTCGGAACAATTGCAATGATGGAGGGCGGTTGGGTTTCAAAATGGGGCTCGCTCTAGCGCTGGGCACACTTGTCCTGAAAGATTGCAACCACCAGTTACCAGAACTGAGGACGGCTCTCGCCTGAGCGCCCAGCACTACTTCTCACAGCTTGCAACAGGTACAGGATCAAGAACCGTTCCTTTTTTTCAAAATGTGCTTATTTTTCCGCGAAAGCCCATACGCTCGCCCGCCGCCTGCGTCGGCAGCGAAAGAAGGCCCTCGACGGCACGCGCGCAACGGCGCTCGACCGAGCCACTGGCCAGCAACCCCGATCCCTAGCGACGTGAGCGCGCCGACCAAATTGTTATTCCTGCAGCACCAGTCCTCGAAACACACCCAATCAATCATCGAAAAGCCGAGAAGAACAAGAAAAAGAGGCTGGAAACTAGGTCTGCCACCAGTCCGACCACCGCTGCCCGCTCGTCTGCATGTCTTTCGTCCTCCCTGCCCCGCTGTAGCCGTCTCTTCCAGATTCAAGCCCCGCCCGCCCGGTGGAGGTGCGAGTGCGGCAGCTGGGCACAATAACCCCCCCCCTTTACCATACCTCAGGTATAGCCGCGCTTCGTCTGCCTGGCAATCCTTTTGTGGCCGACCTCCGCCGCGGTGCGTTCACTTGTTGCGGTCAACTTGTTGCGGTCAAGACAGACAGTGAACTGCATCCAGCGGGCCTGGACAAGCATGGCCACCCCTTCGCGAGCGTCCAGCAAGCCTGCGAAGGGTCGGCGGCGCAGGTGGCAGGGCACGTCCCGCTGCGCCGTCGTCCACTTTCTGCGTCGGTGGCTGGGCAGAGGTGACTGCTCCGGCGATCGGGCATCAGGGGGGGCGCACTAGATGCAACGTCGGCCGCACTGCACGTGAGGAGAGGAGGAGACCCTGGCACGACAACCCCGTCGTCCGCACAGCCCAGCACATCATATGTTGGGAGCCGCGCTTACACACACACACACACACACACTGATTTCGGTCCCGTGTTAGGCCGCTGCAATTTAGGTCTTTGCTACTCGGCAATCCCCTGACGGCGCGCGGCTCTTCCGCTTGCGCTCGCGAAAAAGAAAAACACACACTGAGGTATCAGGGCCCTGCCCCATGGGGCTTCGAAGAAGCGCCACAAGACAACGCATAATGTTCCGGCCAGTTCTCTGGGCGACAGGCGCTGAACGAAATGCATACACTTTGTTTGGGCCGCCATTTCCCACTCGGCAGTTTGCATAGTATAGTGGACATGCTCCTGGCTCCGATGTGTCTGGCCTTGCTGCATCAGCGATCCAGATGTGACCGACCCAGGAGGCCGCCGACGACCCTCCTCGAGTGGACGGCAGAGGCCCTGAACCTCGGCCACGTGAGGAGCAACGGTAAGGGGGGGGACTGGCATAGGGGGGAAACATCGACCTGGAATCGGCGATACATGACCGATAGATCGGCGATAGGCGAAATGCCACCGATAGTGAATCCGCACGTTCCAGAGCAGGTTGGGGCGATCGGGCCCCTATCTGCCATCAGTGGGCGATTGGGGGTCGATGCGTCTCCCTCCCAGAAATCCGACCGCTCCAATTTTTTCGATGCGTGGTTCCCAGTAAGGTCTTCTGACCACCCTGGGGCGAGGTCGAAACCGGCCCGAAACCCGCCGATCGAGGTTTGGTTGGAGCATCGGATCTTTGGGCCCCCCCACCCTCACTTCCGACGGTGCCAAAAAGTTGCAACATCGTAAAAAACACACCTGGACCCCCGGACCCCATATTCCTGCGTCATTTTTCAGGGTCCCGGGGCCCGAAGTCGAGCGAAAACGCAGGCACAAGAATGCAACGCCAGGATCTCAGGGTATGCCTACTCCGAGTTTCTTACTAAGCGTCGGGAAGAGGCGTCACCCCTGCCGACAGCCCCACATCGACCCCCGTCGCGGGCAGCCACCGCGCGCCTAAGGCTCTCCGACCCCCGTCGCGGCGCGACGACAAGGCGAGGTTGACCCCCGTCGGGGGGTACTAGGGGAACGAAAAAAATGTCATACACAGAAAGACTCGGAGATCCGCGCGGATTTCTTGGATCGGCGCTGGGGCCCCCTGGCGGCGCCTCCAGCGCCGCCCCTGGCGCGCTCCGCGCGCCAGGGAGGGGGGTCGAGCGCCGATCCGAGAAGTCCGTACGGAGCTCCGAGTTTTTATGTTCATGTCATTGCTCGTTCCCCTACAGTCAACCAGTATAGTAAGGATGCGCGATAAGGATGCAAAGGCCATGGGAACCCATTTCGAAGCTTCCCGACCGGGGCGCGGCCACCGAGGAGGCAGGGATGCAAGGGTACCCTTGGGAAGGTTGCCCAGCCTCACCATGCGGGCTGACCGTAGTACCTCCCCACGCTTATCAAGAAGCCCAGAGCTGCGCACCCCCCGCGACCCTGTGCCCCCGAGGAGCCTCGACCACAGCGTGCCTCTCTGGCGCCCCCCTCGAGAAACGGCTCGGGCTTCCGACGCCCCCCCCCGCGCGGCAAGGGGCAATGGGGAAACCAAAAAGGTACCGATACCGCTACTCCCTAGACCTCTCCAGCGGTGCGTCCTGGCCAGGATTGCGAGGCGAATCCAGCGGTGGCAGCGAGGGCCTCCGAGGAGGCCGAAGAAGGGGAAAACGGGCGAAGGGCAGCGGCATCATTACCTCTTCCTCCTCTGGGGCAAGCCCCGGAGGCCCGAAACGGCCCCAAACCCGCTGCTCCAACTCTTGTTGGAGCGTCGGACCCCCGGGCCCCCCCGGGCCCAACTACCCCCCCCCCCACTGCAAGTCGGACCCATGAGAGAAGAGCATCCTTCAAGAACACGGGCACCCTCCGCCGGCCCAAGCACAGAGAACACCCAAGGGTCACTCTTACAGTGGAGGCCAGTCCGCAAGAAACCTTCCGCAAGAAACCCAACCCTGGAACCCCAGAGAGTCCATGGGTTTTAGGCGTGGGAACGCCACGCCCTCCACAGCAAAACCATCGAAACCCAAGAAACCCAGGGCACTCTGGAGGCGAGCAGGGTGCTTCTTGGCACGGGCCGCCACTCGACGTGCCGTCGAGTGACCCCGGGCAAGAGTGACCTCTGGTGCGCGGCTTGAGGGGGGCCGCGCCCGAGCGCGCGGGCCGATGCCACCGAATCGTACTCGGCGATCGGGGGGCCCCTGGGGCCGGGCACCAAATCGACAAGCGCGCTCCACTGCTCGCAAAGTAGCTACTCGCAGATAGCCTGAATCCGCCGCGGGGGATTTCCGCTCCAGTGCATCGAGGCAGACATGCTTTTCGTTCCTGACGTTTGCGAGTAGGCACTTGGCGAGTAGTGGAACGCGCTCGGTGACCGAAGGCCACTCCAGCGAAGGGCCCTGCCGGAGAAGCGAAGTGCCCTGCCGGAGAGGTTCGGCGGCGCGATGTCTCGGTCGTCGTCGTCGTCGTCGTCGTCGTCGTCGCCGCCGCCGCCGCCGACGCCCCTCCGAACCTCGCCGCCGAACCTCGCCGAGCGGGGCCCCCGCACGCGGCGCCGCGCGCGCGGCGCGCGGGCCCCGCCTGCTCGGCGAGGGGCGCCCCGGCCTGCGTGCCAAGCCAGCCCGGCTGCGCCGAGGCGGCGCGCGCGCAGCGCGGGCACGTGGCGCGGGCGCCCGGGCGCGGCCTCCTGTGGCCAGGGGGCGGCCCCCGCCTCCTCCTCCTCCTCCTCCTCCTGCCTCCTCCTCCTCCTCCTCCTCCTCCTCCTCCTCTCCTCCTCCTCCTCCTCCGCCTCCTCCTCCTCCTCTCCTCCTCCTCCTGGCTGCTCCTCATCATCATTCCTCCTCGTCTCCTCCTCCTCCCGCTCCTCCTCCTCCTCCTCCTCCTCCTCTCCTCCCTCCTCCTCCTCCTCTCCTCCTCCCTCCTGCCACCTCCTCCATCACACCTCCCTCTCCGCTCCTGCTCCTCCTCTCCTCTCCTCTCTCCTCCTCCTCCTCTCTCCTCCTCTCCTCTCCTCTTCCTCCGCCTCCGCCTTCTCCTCCTCCTCCTCCTCCTGCTCTGCTCATCCTCCTCATCCCTCCACGTCCTCCTCCTCCTCCTCCTCCGCCTCCGCCTCCGCCTCCTCCTCCTCTCCTGCTCCTGCTCCTCCTCATCACACCTCAACGTCCTCCTCCTCTTCCTCCTCCTCCTCCTGCTCCTCCTCCTCCTCTTCCTCCGCCTCCGCCTCCTCCTCCTCCTCCTCCTGCTCCTGCTCATCTTCATCATTCCTCCACGTCCTCCTCCTCCTCCTCCTCCTCGAAATTCGACTTCGTCGTTGCCGAATTCTCCCGAATGCTCCTCCTCCACCTCCTGCTCCTCCTCCTCCTCCTCCTCCTTCTCCTCCTCTTCCCCTTCGTAGTATAGTATTATTCGTCGTATTAGTATGCTTATTCATATTAGTTGTAATTTGCGTATTAGTGTTCGTAGTAACAGTATTGTTTTCTGGTTACCAATGGATAAGAACAAGAATACTAATAACGTGTTATCATTACGTTAATAATATGTAGTATCCCTGTTATGATTACCATTGTTTTGCTTATAACTATCATTCATTTGTTGAATGATGGTCATCTTTCGTATGACTAGTAAAACTAGTTGTCCTCTTCCTCCTCCTCCTCATCATCATCAGCATCATCATCATCTCATCATCATCATCATCATCATCAGCAGCATCATCATCATCATCATCATCATCATCATCATCATAATCATCATCATCATCATCATCATCATCATCAACAACAGCATCGACATCATCATCATCATCAGCAGCATCATCAGCATCATCATCATCATCATCATCATCATCATCATCATCATCATCATTAGCATCATTATAATCAGCATCAGCATCATCATCATTAGCATCATTATAATCAGCATCAGCATCATCATCATCATCAGCAGCATCATCAGCATCATCATCATCAGCAGCATCATCATCGTCATCAGCATCAGCCGCAGCATTAGCATCAGCATCAGCATCAGCATCAGCATCATCATCAGCATCATCAGCATCACCAACAGCATCAGCATCAGCATTATCATCATCAGCATCATCAGTATAAGCATCATCATCATCATCAGGATCATCATCATCATCATCATCATCATCATCATCATCATCATCGTCATGATCAGTATGATCATCATCATCATCATCATCATCATCATCATCATCATCATCATCGGCATCATCATCAGCATCATCATCAGCAGCATCATCAGCATCAGAATCCTTCCTCATCATCCTCAGCATCGTCATCCTCGTCTTCGTCCTCATCATCGTCATCATCATCATCAACATCATCGTCATAATCATCACAATCACCATCATCACCATCACCACCACCACCACCATCATCATTTACAAAATCATCATCTTCATCATCAGTTTCATCAGCATCGTTATTCCCCCTCCTGCTCCTCATGCTCCTCATGCTCATCCTGCTCCTCCTGCGCCTGCTCCTCCTCCTCCTCCTCCTCCTTCTCATCATCATCATCATCAGCATCATCGGCATCATCATCAGCATCATCATCAGCAGCATCATCAGCATCATAATCCTTCCTCATCATCATCAGCATCGTCATCCTCGTCATCGTCCTCATCATCGTCATCATCATCATCAACGTCATCGTCATAATCATCACAATCACCATCATCACCATCACCACCACCACCATCATCATTTACAATATCATCATCTTCATCATCAGTTTCATCAGCATCGTTATTCTCCCTCCTGCTCCTCATGCTCCTCATGCTCCTCCTGCTCCTCCTGCGCCTGTTCCTCCTCCTCCTCCTCCTTCTCATCATCATCATCATCATCATCATCATCAGCATCATCATCAGCAGCAGCATCATCAGCATCATCATCAGCAGCATCCTTCCTCATTCCTCGTTCCTCATTTCCCCTCCTCCTCCTCCTCCTTCTCCTCCTGGAGAACGGGGAATAGCATTCACCGCAACCCAGTAGGAATGTTATACCCTTTTCCTTCAGCTCCTCCTACGCCCACCGACATAACGACAAGGTCTAAAGACTTGAAACGGGATGGAAAACAAGCGCCTCTCAGGAGTCCCAATAAGCCTTCCGACATTGACGGCACTTGATAGCCCGCTTCGTGCTGGTGAGACTCCGAAGCATAGCACAATCTCGACAGGGTGGGGCACGCTCGGAGACAGGAGAAGACTCAGCAGGCTCACGTTCAGGACGTGATTCATGATCAAGCCGATCACGACGACGCACAAAAGCTTGAGAACGCACTTGAACTTGCAACACCCACAACGCAAAGAGGCGCCTCCAGGCCTCAAGGTGCGGCTGCTCCGAAGAGGCCATGATCGCCCATGCTCTGATGAAGAACGACATGCTCTTGATCACAGGCCCGAGACAGACGAATGTTTAATCCTGAGCCGCTTCGCCAAGTGCGGGCCGTGCTACAGGGTAAAAGGCTTCACCGCACACAGCTTCTTCACAGAGCACATCATCAAGAACCTCATCATCAGGGGGTCTTCATAATGATCGGCATCACCTCGGAACGGAAGTCGGCACGAACATGTTGCTCAGGACGGCGGGCTACATCATCAGGACAAACAGCTTCGACACGAACGTAATCATCTCGAACCTGATGTTCACAAATATATTCGCCGCCCAAATCTGGATCCCGTTCTCCGTCAAGCACCCGATCCCCAACTTGTGCACGTCGGTCCACTTCACCACGAAATGGCCGCGCATCGTGGCGAAACTCCTCCGCGTGCGACTACGCCCCATAGAGCTGGAACCTGAAGCTCTCCAGCACCTCTCCCGTGATCGCAGGCCTCGCAGCAAAGCCGTGCAGGCGACGACCATCACGAGGAGGAGCGTGCCGCCCCCAAAGTGCCGTGCCCGCAGGACTCCTCCGCCTCCGCGACCACTCGGGGATGGACAGAACCCCCTTCAGTAAAACGTGGTTTACATATTAGTGAAAACGCCCTCGGGACCAAACCTCGCGGGCGCAAGCCTGGAAGATGACGGCCGCGGCGCCCTCTCGAGAACCGAAAACGGACAACTCACGAATCGACGTGTCAGGGTGGGGATCCTGTCCACCCCTCGAACCACCTGCACGGGAAGCTGGAGGAGCTCTGCCGCGCCAATCGCCTCGCCCGCGTCGCCAAACTCCCGGTGGGGGCGGCCAGCGCCGCGCACGCGGCCTTGGTGCGCACCGCCCGCCCGCGCGGGCGCGCGACGCGAGGGCCTCCCGTGATCCGGCTCGCTTGAGCCAAGATGGATACAGGGGGAGGAGGAAGAGGAGGAGGAGGAGGAGGAGGAGGAAAAGGACGGGGGAAAGGAGGAGGAGGAGGAGGAGGAGGGAGGAGGGAAAGGACGGGAGAAAGGAGGAGGAGGAGGAGGAGGAGGAGACCGACAAGGAGGAGGAGGAGGAGGAGGAGGAGGAGGAGGAGACGGTTGGCCCCCATGGCGCGCGCCTCCGCGCGCGCTGCCAGCGCGCCCGCGCCGCACCGAGGCTGAGCGCGAGTGCCGCGCGAGCACCGCGGGGCGGCGGCGCAGCGGCGGGTGCCCGCAGCGCCTTTCCGGCGGGCGGGCCCGCAGCAGCAGCAGCAGCAACAGCAGAAGGCACCAGCAGCAGCGCCAGCAGCACCAGCACCGGCGCGGGCACCAGAAGCAACAGCACCCGCACAGTGTGCCCCGCCAGGATGTGGGCTCTCGGCTGGTCTCACCCGCCACCCCTGTCTGGATACCCACTTTTGGGCCCCACACTGCCCCCCCACCACCAACACTACCACCTGGTCGACGGCGGAACCGAACGGATTCAAAACACACTCGAGCTCACACACGTCCTAAGGACCCTCCGGCTGGCGAGGGAGGACGGCCCCCCTCTGTGGCTATTGCCCAGCGCAGAGGAAGCTCGGGCCCAACATGCTCGCGTCGTGAGGCAAAAAAATGTGTCCGTCATCGGCTGGGCAGAACAACTCCGCTGGCGAAGAGCTACTTGAACGGGGGTGCCGTTGTAGCGAACTGTGTCGCGAAGCAAGATGCACGATGGGAGGTCTGTGGCCATGCTCGCGGCCTCCGGGCGCCTTCGACCAGCCTCGGAACCGCTTCGACACAAAATGACAACGTCGCGTGCCTGAGCCGCCTTCCGCTCCGCCGCGCACGGGCGGCGGCGCGGTTAGCGATCCGCCCCCGTGTCGTCGTCGACGTCGCCGCCTTCGTCGTCGTAGTCGTCGTCGCCGTCGTCGCCGTCGTCGTCGCCGTCGCCGCCGCCGCCACCGCCGCCGTCGTCATCGTCGTCGTCGTCGCCGCCGCCGTCGTCGTCGTCGCCGTCGTCGTCGCCGCCGCCGTCGTCGTCGTCGCCGTCGTCGTCGTCGTCGCCGCCGTCGCCGTCGTCGTCGTCGTCGTCGTCCCCGTTCAGGGTCGGCGGCACCGGCCGCAAAGCCTTCGCCATCAGGGCGTCGCGCGTTTGCGCCGCCTCCCGCTCCGCCACGCACGCGCGCCGGTGCGGTGGAGCGCTCCGCCCCCGACCGCCTCCCGCTCGCCCGGGCCCCGCGCCCAGTCTTCGGCGCTCGGGCCGCGCCCTGTCGCGGGCGGCGCTGCGCGCCGCGGCACGCTCGGGCGACCGCCCGCCTCCGCAAGACG